GAGGACACCATTTTCTATTCAATCGAAAAGGTAGGTGGAGGTGGATGTGGAAATCGACTCAGTTGAGGATTACTCGCGATGGCCGTGAGGTTTGCGTGGAGTTTTGCTCACGGGCGATTGATATTCTTGAGGTAGTCAGTCGATGGTAGAGGGGAGGAGCGCGTGTGAATCGCCGTAGCAACCCAGCTGGGACGACCTTCCATTCGACATTTGGCCACGCGAGCCACAGGTAGGCTGCTACAGCAGCCATGCAGCAGCCGGGTCAACGGCCCATGCTGCAGCCTCGTCGCCGCGCTGCCCGCAGCGCGCTGTGCGCGCGATTCTGCGCCTCGGCCGAGCTTTCAAAGTCCATATTAGCTATGCAGGAGCGTTGAGACGCGTTCTTGTCTAGAATAATCTGCATTTCCCAACCACAAAACTGGTCACGGATGTGTGAGAGTTTGAGTGTGATGAGGGTGATTCGTGATTCTTCGTTCACATTCGTGGTGGTCAAGAAGGAAAGGCAGCCTTCAAGACGACGTCGCAAATCGGGAATAGCTACGTGTGTGCGGATGAAGCTCAGTGCAGTCTTTGGTAGCTACAGTCTGATGCTCGCTGTGCTCCACCAGGCAAAGGTATCGCAGTGTGGAGAGGATACCTGAAGCAAAATCGCAGCCAATTTCGGCAAAGGGGACACGCGTCCATTGGGAGTGGGAAAATGCCTTTGTTACGCATACAGGCACACAATTACTCTTTGCGACTCTTGCGAACCGTCTTCTTCTTGGCTGGAGATTCGCCTTCAGACTCAGTCGGCGTTCCAGCCTGCTGCTGCTCTGACGCTTTCTTTGCAGCTCTCAGCTTCGTAGACCGTACAGTGGCATCTTTTGGCTCCGTCTTGTCAAACGCTGTCGTGGAGAATGTAGCACAGCGCTTTTGCATCAGCCGTGCGATTCTCACTAGGCGCTCGCCTCTCTGCTCACCTTCCCCATGAAAAGTCGGAAACCTATGGAATAGTATGGCCAGGTCAGCTCGGTCTGCCGGACGCCCATCTGGGAGTCTACTTACCTTGGAGTGCCATCTGGTGGTAAGAGAGTGGTGCATAACGACTTGAGCTGCGCATGCTGCATGAAACACAGCCCTGCGACTCACCCATCGACAAATCCTGAAAGCGGTACACGACTATCTTTCCTACCTCTGGCTTGAAAGCGAAACGCAGAGAGTCTGTCAAACCGCTGCCGCAGTCGAACTCCAAACCACTAAAGGTACCGCGTGCGTGTCAGCTGTGAGGCCGAGCATCCTGGTGCAAGACCCCCACTCACTTTGCCATCTTCAAACGCAAAGAACCACATGCGTTGGCCAGCCGTCCTGTTCCTTTGTTGTGTCCGACCACGACGGCCTCAGCATCGTAGAAAGACTTCACCTACAGGTGTCGGATACGGACGTCAGAACGTGGTTCGCAAGTCGGCGAGGGACGTCCAGCAACGTACCTTTTGCAAGGCGTCAGATCGACTGCTTTTGTAAGCGCTTCCCGGCTGGCGAAGCATCACTCCTTCTCCTCCCTTGGCTTCGACATCGTGCAGCCACTTGACCAAATGGTCTTTGCTTTCGCATCGAACCTGGCTCAGAAATGCCACGCATGAACGCTATAGGAACAAGAGGCAGGCACCTCAGTGGCCGTGCCGGAAGCGAGTTTGTCAGACATGCCAAGACCGCTTACTTTGGCTTTGATTACATCATCCACGAGCATTTCACCATCCGGTGCGACTTTTCGTGCCATATCCCACCTCTCTTCCACCGGCTTGTCCACCCCTGTAACGTCGAATATCTGTGTAAAGAACAGCCGGGAAATGAGCACATCTTCACAAGTGCAGCGTTCGAATTGAAGCTCACCAGAAACGATATGCTACTCCAGTCACCTCCCGGCTGCGCAAGGTTGAGATGGAGGTCAGC